CTTCCCTGTAGATGGATTTTTCAATTATCCCATCATTTCCTCCTTTTATGTTGAGATCTAGGAAGTGGAACTGATTGTCGGGTTCTCGGTCCATTGTAAATGTTATGTGAGGGTAAGTCACACGGATGTTTTCGAAAATCATGGATGCGTGATCCATATCGTTGCAAACCACAAACACGTCATCAACTTCCGTGCATTAATAGGTGTTTCTCTCTATTTCTGACTTCATACGTATCTTTTCAAGATTAGTCATGAATATGTCCGCAAGAACAGGACCCTAAGGTGAACCTATAGCCACCCCATCAATTTGCTGGTACAACTGGTTGTTGAATCAGAACTGAACGTTCTTTGTGGAAAGAAGTAGTAATTTTCCACTGTCAACTACCATATTGGAAGAGCGTCATAGTGAGATAAAACATCAGGATGATAAGTTGGCTGACGTAATACACTGCATGTATATATATACACACATATATATAACGGTAGAAGACGAGAGACGAGACTCTACACTGACTTACATTTATTAAAGATTATAAGTTTTATGATGACAACCTACGAAATGAAATGTATCCATTTTATTCTGCACCAGTGTTTGTTCTTTTTCCACTTAAATTCATAAAAAAGGAATTCTTGTGTGAAATATGTTGTTTAATTCGTTTTTTGAGAGTAAAAGCTATTGTAGGGAGCAGCGTCGTTAGGTTTGACGGGATTCTATTTTATGTTCTAATTGCTTAAAAATAGTGCCTACCACTTAGCCTAGTGCGAAGAAAATACAGTTTATACCTTTGACTACTAACAAATTATAAGTAGCCAAGATAAGAGTTCAACAATTATTTCAACGAATAACAACTAGTATCTATTGTTGTGACGACCCAGTGGCCAATTAATCGAAGATCCTGAATACGAAACATTGGATGTTGGTTTCATGTCTAAGTGGAAACATTATCACACCGGGATACAATGACATGTAGATGAAAAGAGCTAAATAGTGTGGAACGCGAGTTCGATATTCTACTTCTCTCCAGAATCAACTAAATAATCAGAAATAGTACCATAGTATCTTAATCGAGTGTCCTTTTTTGCACTTGAAGTGAACCTTGTTTATGTACGTGAGTTGAAATGATAACTTACAGGAGTTGGCGACTACACTTTGCAAATTAATGTGAAATTTTTAATTTACACAACTCAAGATGAAATTTCACCAAAGTTTGCCTTGTAAAGCGAAATTATTCATATCACAGTATGTAGTCTGCTTCATAACATAAATGCCAATCAACAAAGCAGGCATAGATGCACGACGCTATATACTACTGATTGACAAGTATGAGTAGTTTTATACCAACTGTATCAACCAGTAGTGCTTGCTAACCAGTTTGAAGTGATTTTAACTCTGGACTGCCGCTTTCTCAACTGAAATACCTATCCAGTTAAACATAAAGTAAACTGATATACCGAGCATCGAAATCAGTCTGACTTTGTCTGTCAGTATGTTTTTATTCTTGTAATACTGTTAAATGGGCTAAATATACTCAGATACAGAAAATGTGTTTCCTTTCAACAGACAGAGATTACTCAAGGAACAAAAAGTAGTTATTATAATTCATACTTCAGTGATTTCTGATAGGTCATACCTCGAATCATTGTATAAGATTTCTAGTTTTCATAGATATTTTCGATATTGTTATATTCCCTGAGCTAGGCGACTTGTTTGCGAAGCTTTCATTGTCCTTCTGGACAACATTTTCAGTACTAAATTCAGTGTGAAGTGAGCTCTGGAAATTCTTCGTGGATAGAATAGTTATATATCATGGTGACTTTCCCTGTGTTTTGTTATTCCCATAGATTTGCTTACGGTCGTATCCGATAGTTTTGAAATTGCCCCCCTCGTTGACCTAACATTGGAGTTTTTGTCAGTGTGACCTCTTTTTTTTAATGGATTAGTAAATTCAATCTATATTCACTTTTCTGTTCACTGAAAGTTATTTGGCTACTTGGCCTTTAGGAATCTTCTCTTCGTGTTTCCTTTTATCTAAGATTTTTTACACGGTTCCAGCTGATTTCATGTTCTCATTTATCCATGTGGATCATTATGAATGAAGACCTTTGACTGCTAGACACAACTGATGGTCACTATCAGCGATAAATATTTCACCCATTAGGAACTCCCAAAGTTCGTTTCACATCTAAATTTACTCTGAAAGTGTTGTCCAGTCAGACGATGAAGATTTCATGATTGAACTGTTCTGTTCGGACACAAAAATACCATCAGAAATACCATATTTCACCGTATGCTGACGTACTGTTTATCAAGTGATGAGGAACTCAATCCCAAGATTTAGCAAAGTTGACAGCTATTTCTCATATCATTTGAAAGTAATCATCCTAACATATTTTTCTAATAAAAGATAAACTACTCATGAGTAGATAAAAGTAAATAGAAAATTATTTCAAATGTCAATAGCGGACGTTTGTGTTTATGTCTCAAGAAAATGCATGACTAATTAGCCACAAAAGATAAATCAAATTAATCATATCCTGTAGACAAAGAAATTATTATCTACAATGGTATATTAGTGGTGAATCATAATAACATATTACAAACATTATCTGGGATTTATTGACAGAATACCATTTCCGCACATTTCTGCATACTTATTTGCTAACACAAAGGAACTAAAGAAAATAAGGTAAAATTGGCATTAATTCTGAATTTTTATCTGAATATGATGTTACTTTTCATATCACTGTGTTTTCATGCCATCTGATAAATAATAAAGTTGTCTTTACCCTTCAAATAAAATATTTCACCTAGAATGTTCGCCACATTGCAAACCTGACTGATAGAATTCAGTCAGCACCAAAGAAAGGAATAGACACGTCACACTAGTTACTACTGTCCAATCAAAATAACAGCACTCACTGAAATCAAGGTATGTTGGCGTAATAATCCTTAAATGAAACAAAAGCATGCCGCCTGGACTATGATTACTGCATGCTAGACGATAAACGGGGAGTAAGTGGCACAGCGGTAGAATGCTCGCCAACCACGTATTTTTTCGGGGTTCTATCCCTGGCTAACGTACTCCTTTACCTCAATAGGCCAGTAATAAAGAGGCTATCAACCCCAACCCTTAAAAATAAAAACCACTGTTACCGGAACTTCAAAGTTCTAGCTTGAAGCTCTAAGTTCCAGTGGGAACGTAATGGAATAAAAAGAAAGACGAAAAACAAGTGCCTTTGTTGATAGAAACTCATCGATTCAGTTCAGCCAAGTAAATAATATAGAGTTGCATGTTAGCATAAATTTTATACAGCGCGTTAGAGATTGACTTATCTGATGAACTACTTCAGTCTTATTGTTGTTCCTCATTTTTTACATCTAGAAATCTTACTGCTCTTCTAATCATTTATAACATAGGCATTAAGCTGAATTAATTTGGTGGATAGTAATTAGTAGTGGCATCCATGATCCGCATTTCGTCCTGTTTGGTGCTCTTCAGCTACAAATGACTGCATTCCCCAGTGACTGATGGTGTTCCCCCTAAGACTTGAACCCAATACCCATCGTTTCAAATGGCAAAGTTTCATCCCTTAGACTACTTGGATGAAAAATGCATACTGGATTCCACTGCTAATTACCATGCACCAAAATACTTCAAGTTGAACCTCAGACATAGTCGAAACATCCACATAAGGAGCCGACATTTTGGTCCTACCAATCAATGGGGAAATCAAAATTGAATCAAAAATAAATAATATACGTCAACCCTCTACATAGCATATTATGCGCATCACTTTCAATTCCATATTAGTTTTTTGTATAAATCACACAGGGGAATAGTTTTATTCATTGGATAACGTTTCGAACACTATTTATCATTCAAAATCGTATCAGTAAATATAAATTTACTGAAACAGTTTTTTCTATGGTATTCTCTGCTTGAAAATATGTGTTGACTAATACCTATCTAAATGCGTCGATGGTATGGCGGTAGAATGCTCGCCGACCACACATGTGGTTTGGACTTCGATCCCCCACCGACGCACTGCTTTACCTCTCTAAGCCAGTAATAAGACTGGTAAAGAGGGAAGGTTGGGTATAAGGCTAGCAACCCCATCCCGTAAAAATAAACATCACTGATAGCGAAACTTCAAGCCTCTGTCTTGAAGCCCTATGTTCCACTAGGAAGGTGAAGGAATAAAAAAATATCTTTATACCCTGCTTCTATGACAGCCCGTCTTAAAAATAAAAAAACAGTATTAACCTTCCTGAGCTTGTGCTCTATTATGTAAGCTACAAGGCAACTGAATAGTTACTGTGACTAGTAAAGTGCCGATTACTAATTTCCTAGGGTTGGTTTTTGAGGAGTTTTATTGATTTTAAGTCAAATTTCATCACAAACCGATGTCATTTAGAGAACCAATAAAAATTAGATGGTACTGAACAGGTGTTTCCTCCTAGTTTCGAACGCTTTACTGTTAAAGATCCATAATGCCATCGTGGATTCAACCCAGTACTTTGAGGTTTTTAGGAGAGTGACTTATCATTTATCCCCTGGGATGGAATCCAGTATTCTATGGTACCTGCCTTCTCTCCATTCGTGATATATAATGCAACTACAGGCCAATATCATTAGTGGGTATCTGTCCTCATACCCGAGTTTGTATGCTTACGACTAGGGACTTGTCTATAGAACTCCAAGAAATCCATCCACTACTCAGTCATTAGTGAGCACTTGATCAATTTTCAAACGGTGATTTGTAGGAATTTGATTGGTTTGGAATTAGATCTCATCAAGAGCCGCTAAGTGACCCAGAACTGAGAAGAAATATCTGTCAAATACTTCTTTCTTTTCATTGTTTCCCCAACGGACTTCCGTTCATAATGCAATCATCATTTATTTATAAATAACTAAAGATGTTACTGAATAGAATGTATCAAGGTCAAATTTATTCATTTTGAAGACATAAAAAGACAAGTGACAGTCAGCATAACTTACATTCACAGATCCTGTAGACGTAGTTCTTCCTACACTCTGTTGAGATTGTGAACGTTTTGTTGTGTCTAGTTGAGAATAATGACTTGCAGGTTGATAATAGCCTTTATTAGCTCCATTTTTCACTGTCGTTGACTTTGATACAATGGTATAACGTCCAACAGGATTGTTTGACTTGTTGGCATATCCATTTGTCTGTCGAATCCCGTTGTAATTTGTTTGATTTGAATTTCGATTATGCGTAAAGTCATTCATTTGATTTGACTTGATCATGTTGGACATATTTAATGACATCTAGTGGTCAAAATAGGTTTTTTTTTTAAAAAAAAATGCCAGTTAAAACTGCACATATTAATGACTGGTAACAAAGTTAAGAAGACTGTATTCAATAATCTCTGAAATATTAATGTCATAATTTGATTATAAATGTACAAATTTTAGAAGTCAGGAGGTGCTGTATCAATATCGTATGAACTGTACAAAAATACTGCTAACCGCTAAATTATATGATAGATCCTGGGTTACAATTTTGCGAACAAATAGTTTAGGTGGTGTGACTATCTGAGATACCTGAAGGTGAAATGAGTATCGAGATCGGGACAGGATCTGAAACAGCAGCCTCTAAATTACTAGTCAGACATTCTACCAACTGAGCTTCGGGACTCGATTGCTAACCAGGCCATCACTTTACTTCAGTGATAATGAGCAATACTTTGTCATGCGAATGAATGATACATATTCAAACCGACAAATCTAATCAAAAATAAAATAAATCAACTGAAAGATCCCATAAAAATGATGGATAAAAACAACTTGTGCTAACTGTCCAACTAAATATGTGGGGCAGACGTCCAGATCACTCAAAATAAGAGTGAATGAACATAAAAGCCTAACCAAAGGTCAACCAACAGGAACACAAGCCTAAAAGAATCTTGAAAAAATTCATTGATAGCTGCACATGCATGGGATAAAAACCACAATATCGATTGGGACAATGTGTGTATTCTAAAAACTAACATGAACAAATGGAAAGAAAGACTTATAACAGAATCGATATTCATTAAAGTAACATTGGATACATGTAACGAGGGTGACTCAGTACAACTATCAACAACTTGGAATATAATTCTGAATACAAACACATGAATGAACGTGGAATACAACTTAAATACAAAAAAAAAACAAAAAAAACATGAATGAGCAAAAATAATGAACAATATGTATATGAGTACAAATCATAAATGTGTGAATCAAACAATTACAACAGTGGTGTGAACACGGGCAGTAATTTTGCTCGAAATATTACCAAAAACAAAACTTATCATTGTGTGTAAACTATTGAAATATAATTATACTTTAATAGAATTCACAGTTTGCAATCTAACTGCATATTTTGAATTTGATTTATGGTGTCACCAGCTCGCTCAAGTAGCTAGCCAGAAATCAGGCGGTTTGAACTTATACAGCTGTCTGATCTCAGTCCAGTCGGGTACGCGATTGATGAGCTCAACCCCATATGAGTGGAACCACTAGCCAGATCACTTTGATCTGGCTGGTAATCACTACTGGCTTGGTATACAACTACTCATCTCTATGAATCAGTCGTATATAGTTTTCTGGGAGTGAATTATACTTAAGTATCTGCTTGTCATCACACCAGGTTAGTCATGTATCATTTGCTCCCAAGATAGGTGGGTAGTACCCATGAGGACTGAAGTGATGGTCTGATTATCAATTGAATTTCAGAGCTCATCTGGGATAGCAGCCACCAAGATTTTCGTTTCCCCCTTCAATAGTCACCTAATAAAACATATTAAACCTTTAAATTTCATTTTCATACTTTATACGCAAGATCTGTAACCAGCATCTTCAATAAAATGTTCAGTATTAGATAAGTTGACAGGCATTTGCTTAAGATTAATTAAAGGATTAATGAAAAGCATAGATAAAACTTTGTTATTTTATGTTTTTTTTGCTACTGATTTCTATCTAACTTGGAAAAATTGACGTGGGATTATAAAAGAAATGCACTCCTATGTAGTGTAGACAGCGATGAATTAGATGAATAAATAAATAAATGAAGATGTTTGAAATTAGCTACAAAAGTATATGACATCAGTTCACCTGATGCTTACGTAAAATATACTAACCAAAAACTGAGCCAAAACTTGTGGAACCATCAGTGTGCATTCACCTAATAGTGAGATGTTCATACATAACATCACATTCATCACTAACGCAGTCACGTGAATTCTAGAAGTTATAGTACAGTCAATGATCAGAATCTAACTGAAAAGACAATATTTCTTCGCTCCATTTATTGTCTTCTAAATGTTTAAATTAGGATTCAAATATGACATCTTTTCAAGCATACTCACTCTTAAAATATGGTTAAGATATGTAGATGATACTTTAGTAGTGCTAACACGAGATCTATACAGTTCATTCTTGGAGAAAATAAACAGTCTATCTCCCAACATCCAGTTTACTTCGGAAGCAGAATTAGACGTCGGTGAACTACCGTTTCTAGGCTGCTTAGTTAGGAGGAGGGAAAAAGGATATTTTAGTATGTCTAAATTCAAGAAGGAAACCCACTCCAACAAATATTTAGACTTCAGGTCATCACACTGCATCAGCGCAAAAGGTATCAGTTGTTTCAAGTATTCTTAGACGAGCACACTCTCTGATAACGGATGAGAAAGAAAAAGAAGAAGAAATATCAAACATTACTGAAACTCTCGAGCAAAACAACTACCCAAAGAACTTCATCAACAATATCAACATTGACATGAATTAAGGTCGAAAACGTATTCAGAAAACATGAACCTCAGCAGTTATCATTCCATATGGAGCGGAGAAATCAGATGATATCAGAAGAAACTCAAAAAGGTCGATATCAGAATTTTCTTCAACACATCAGACACTGAGAAGCAACCTTGACCATATAAAAGACCAAAGATTCTCTATCTAGTTGTGTCTATAGAATAAAATGCCATGCTTGGAATGTGATGCGATATACATCGGACAAACATCTCGAGAAATCAAAATCAGAGGAAATGAACACCGTAGAGCATCTGTTCAACCACCGAGAAATCCAGTTGAACTAGAAGAGTTTGAAAAATCATCAACCATAGGTCTACACGCTATAGAATCAGGCCACAAAATTGATTTTGACAATATTGAAATAATCCAGAATAATTTCAGAAATCACAAAGAACGTCTAATATCAGAAGCACTTCATATCAAGTGGAATCCAAATTCTCTGAGTAGGAATGATGGACTAAGACAGAATTTGATCTGGTTACATCACCTCCCTCCCCCATGAAATGACAAAATCAACACGAATGTGGTATGCAAGTTCACTATGTAAACATGCTGATTTTATAATTTTACACACATCAAATCCAACAACCTACATCTGGTTTTGTTATCTTTATCAGTTGGTCAACTTGACAGAGTGAGAATGACCCTATGCTGAGGAGCGATGATCAAGCTGTTATATATAAGCTGAAATGTTGTAAATTCCTGTTCCATAATACTTTGATAAAGCTATTAGAACTAAATAGCGAAACGTCAGTAGAAATATCTTTTTGTTTTTCATTCATCAGGAAATACAAAAAACCTTTATTATAATAAATATCATATACCCAATGCCCAAATTTCTTCAGACTACTAAAATTTAACTTGGTTTGGACATATATAAGGTTTTTATCTACTATTATATATTATAATTGTACTTGATTTTTCCTAAATCAAACCAGATAACAAATTTAACGGTCACACTGACTCTAAGATCCCCTTTTTTCTGACTCACGTGAATTCTTCATGTAAGGACATCAGTAGCTGAAATGAGTCCTTAATTCAGTAATTTACCTTTATTATTCTTAATTATTCCTCAAAGCTAATGTGCATTTTAAACACTGACCACCACTGTCACATCAGTAGTAACTGTAGACACATGAAAAGAATGTCAAGTATCGATCCGCTTATGTTTATCTAGTGAATAATTCACTCCTTATAGGGTCAGTGGGTGACTGTTCGCTTTAAATTTATGATAATTTGTAGACATTCCAAGATAAATAAGGAAATCAATAATACAAGGATGCATGTTTAGATCTTCAAAGTACTGATAATAAATGGGAGATTGCGCCCAAAATGCCACAGGATTCATGCACGTTCGTCCTATAGTCAATATTGTTTTTATGTAAGCTGCATGCAGCACAGCGAAATTACCTGACGCTGGAAAGAGATTACAAGTAATTTTCGCATGTGAACGGTTTTAATTTCATTTATTTACTAGACATTTCAAGTGTATTTAATCAGTCGTTTGGAAATTATCGATAAGAAGCATTAAAATGTATATAAAATTGACATTTAACAACCTGCTTATACCTGCCTAGTGTGTGCTTAGACTAACAGTCATCTTACTTTTCGTTAGTATTTTCTAATATAAACAGGCGTAGAATTTCTTTGTATAACTGACAGAGAATAAATTAGGTGAAATCTTCCTTCCTACAATCGATAGCTTAGTGTTAAATAGGCTAGATAAAAAACAGAGATTGACACGTTAGTTGGCTTCTACACTTAAACCAATCGGTGAAGAGTAAACTATGGTGTACAAATCTTGACAGGAATACGTCTATCAAGCTATTTGTACTACTGACTAATCGGCATTAGTAGTTGGATAGCACTCACGTCAAGGAGTAGCGTAACCTCCTAACCGAATAGAAGTGATCTAGACATCGGAGAGCCGTTTAGTTTGCAGCTTGTTCGCAGCCCAGCTCATCATCTGAGGAATAAGTCTGGAATTCGGAAACAGAATCGCTTGCTTCAGTTTGGAATTCAAACAAATGCCTGTCTAAGTGAGAATCCAGTGTACCGGTTTTTTAAGGAAAAATTCACATCTTAAAGTCGATATACTTTCGTCAAAACGCTGTGAGAATTCAAATTGGTAAATTAGTAATCTAGTTTCTTACTAGGTCATGAGAAGCAATGAAAATAAGCATTTATGTACTACAGAAATTTTAGCGCGATTTATCGAAGTAAAGATTTATAATGAGGGGTCTAATTTTCCAACCCAAAAAGAAGAATAAGAGAGAGAGAATGAAAACCACAACTGTTCAAACTCTAAATTATTGTTTATATAAACATCGTTGTTGAATAGTTTATACAATGTTAATAAGGCGCCATGAAATATCGACTAATAACTTGTTCTATGGGTTTTTCAAGTAATTGGGAAGTTATCTGCTTTTTATATAATAACTTATTCTGGGAATAATTGCGAACCACTGAAA